ATTTGTTGGGACTATGTGTACTATTTGTCCAAAAGTGTATCCTGGTGTGAATAATCCAATCTCATTCATTTTGGAGACTCATGAAATACTCCTAAAGGAAGTGAAGCCAAAGAGTAAACTATCATAGCTTTGAAAAACGCTGTTTTTAACTCTCAATCCATACCGGCTCGTCTTTTTCAGGCAAATCAGCTAACAGAGGAAAACCTACTCGCTGCCCGAGGCATCAACTTCTCTCGAATTCTCGAAGCTGTACCCTACCAAGGCAGTGGTGACAAAATCAAGCTGCCTCCATCTTGCTTCACCGAGCTTTCCGAACAAGGAGCTTTCGACAAGGGTCCCCTTCATTTCTCCTTGTCCTTACTTCATCAAGAGACCCCACTTTACCCCGAGCCCGCTTCAAAAGAAATCCGAACTACACATGCAGGCGTGCTCGAGTTCACTGCTGACGAGGGCCTCGTGGCCTTACCCTCCCACTGCTGGAGCAATTTATTCTCCGCAGGCCCTCCACATTCCGCTACTGTGGAGGTGCGATACGTTTGGCTTCCAAAGGGGACTTACGCAAAGCTTCAGCCGGTCAAGCCTGGATTTTCGGATCTCCCAAACCACAAGGCTGTCCTTGAGACGAGCCTTCGCCAGCACGCGACTCTTTCTGAAGGTGACTTGCTGTCTGTGGGCCATGGTGGTACCTTGACGTACAACCTGCGTGTGCTCGAGCTGAGGCCTTCACCGAGTGTGTCTGTTTTGGAAACTGATATCGAAGTCGATATTATCGAACCGGAATCTTCCGAGAGAGGCGATCAAGATCAGCACGTGCTGAGGCCTCTCGTCTTGGGAAAGTCCGAGTTTGGAGAAATCGATGAAGGTAACTATTTCTACTATAAATTCTCGGTAGATGAGGGCACTTGGAACAAAATTTCGTCTGGGGAGATTAAATTTGTGATTAAAATCGAGCCACAGACAGTAGATGGAGATATTGACCTTTATGTTTCGAAGCATCCTCTTTTATTCCCTACTTCGCACCAACACGTTTGGTCATCTCATGACGTGGGCCCGAAGGAATTGGTTCTCGGAGCAGAGGATCGGAATTTCGGGCCGGGAAGTTACAGTATTGGTGTGTATGGGTTTAAAGGGACTTCAAAATACGTGTTGTCTGTATCTGTTCTTGATGTTTCTAATCAAAAGCAAGGCCAGCTGGCGACAACATCATCATCGTCGGTTGCTGATGTGGATACTATCGAATGCCGAAATTGTAAACATTATGTGCCGTCAAGGAGTATTGCCCTTCACGAGGCCTACTGTAGTAGGCATAATGTAGTTTGTCAGCATGAAGGTTGTGGGGTGGTTCTTAGAGTTGAGGAGCGTGAAAGGCACGTGCACTGTGGAAAATGTGGTAAGGCGTTCCAAAAGGAGGAGATTGGGAAGCATGTGAAAGTTTTCCACGAGCCACTCCATTGCCCTTGTGGGGTAGTTCTCGAAAAAGAGGAGATGGTGAGAATAAAAAGGCTTTCTTTAATTTTTTTTTTTCATGTTCTTTCCACTTGAATCTGCCATTAGATTTCTTAACAATTTCATTTGTGGTGGTGTGATGATTGACATGTTTCAACTTTATTGTTATTATTATTATTATTTTGAACTGTCAATTTAATCGTTTAGGTGATTTACATAGTCAACGATTATATAATTTGTGAATTTCTTGCAAATAATTTGCATGATGCACTTTGTACTGCATGCTAAAACTTTGTACTGAATGATAAATCTTCTCAATCCCACAACTATTAGCAATGAACCTGAAATAATACTTGTGATTATTTACTTGTGGACCTGTAGAGTTGATACCTTTGTTAGAGATCTCAGAAAGATAATAGCTTTTGTGTGTCATTGCTCTAGAATCGCACGTCTATACATTTCAATGCGAATTGCCTCTCAGAAAGAAAAGTGTTACTCCAAAAATATATTTAGTCTGCTTTTTTTTCCTTTGCCAATCTGTACGGTTGTTGACTATCCTTGCCACCTTTGAAGTACAAAGTTCTGCCGTTTGTTGATATTCTTTTTTTTTTTTTTTTNTTTTTTTTTTTTTTTTGTTCTTCTATTGTTGTTTGCAGGTGCAACACCAGTCCTCAGATTGCCCATTGAGGCTAATCACATGCCAATTTTGTGGAGATATGGTTGAGGCCGGGACTTGTGCTATAGATGCCCGAGACCGCATGAGAGGATTATCCGAACACGAGAGTTTATGCGGGTCGAGAACTGCGCCATGCGATTCTTGTGGCCGTTCGGTGATGTTGAAGGATATGGACATACACCGAATTGCGGTCCATCAGAACAACTAATCTCTTTTGATTAATGTTCAAAATTTGTTCTTTCCGGGTTTGTGCTGTGTGTCAGCTGGGAGCTTGTAAGCTCGCTCGCATTTTTACGGTCTCAATGATGAAATTATTTCTAATGTGCTGCCTAAAACTTGCACCTTGTTGTATACCTGTGTTTAAAGAACTTGTCAGCCATTATGTTGTGGGGGTAAGAGTGTGATTGGATATGAATTTGATTTAGTTTTGATTTGTTTATTTGTTCATCATAGTTAATTTTGAAAAATGTGGTATGGTTAGTCGTTAGTAGAAATTTAAATTTATACTAAAATAATATTTAAATTAAAATAATTAAAGTTGATTTGATGTAAAAATAGAAAATGGATGATGTGAATTGACGTTAGGTAAAATTATATGAGTGAATGAATAGTGAACTGAAGTTATTGTTTATAATTTATAATGTTGGGGATAATAGAGTTGAGTTATAAAAAGTCATTGAATTAAAAATAATCGAGTTTTTTTCCAATCAAATTTATATCCAATCATACCTTACGATTTCTTATTACAAAAAATCATGGGTTATTCCATTAGATAAATAATACGTGATGGTTGTGTATCAATGGATAAAAAGTGTATATTTGTTGAAAAACTACCAACTGCCAACACAATAATAGTTTCATAAACTGTATATTACCATACAACCCTTTATTTTTACAGGCAACAATTAATCATAAGTGTACACAGTAATACAAATATAATTTATAAATTAGACTAATTTTACATCCAGGCCATGAATTTTTTCAACAATTTTGTTGTAGGCATCGAGTGCGGCTCTATTCATAGCAATAACCCTTTTGGCACTGTATTTTGCCTTTCCCACAACATCTTCATCCACGACAACCTCAATTTCGCCACTCACTTTCCAAAAATCTCTTATTTCTAATGTAAATCCTTTCCTTTGACACAATTCTCGTAGTTTTACCACAGGATGTGTTGGAAGGTCCGATGGAGTTATTATTGGTTCCAACAAATTCTTCACAACCTGTTAATTGTCATCAACATGCAATGTGGAAGGTTAGAAACATGTAAAAGTCGAGCATTAGTGCCATTGCTAGTTACTGTCAGGACTCAGGCGGGTCTAACGGTTAGCATTTAGATGTTTATAATTTTTCAACAACACAATTCTTCTT